TCTTGTTGAAGGTGATCCAAGTTCATTCCAAGAAGCAATGGATTCACCTGAATCTCCTTTCTGGAAAGAAGCCATTGATAATGAAATTAAATCTATCATGGAAAACCATACTTGGATACTCACCAACTTACCTATAGGTTGTAAATATATTGGTTGTAAGTGGATATTCAAGAAGAAACTCAGAGCTGATGGTTCCATAGATAAATTTAAAGCTAGATTAGTAGCTAAAGGCTATACTCAACAAAAGGGCATTGATTATTTTGATACCTATTCTCCTGTAGCCCGAATCTTAACTATCCGAGTATTATTAGTCTTTGCTGCTATTCATAAGCTAATCATACATCAGATAGATGTCAAGACTGCTTTACTGAATGGTGATTTAGATGAAGAGATCTATATGCACCAACCTGAAGGCCTCATTGCCAAGGGTCAGGAAAACAAGGTCTGTAAGCTTGTTAAATCTTTGTATGGTCTTAAACAAGCTCCTAAACAATGACACCAGAAATTTGACAACGTCATTGCACAATATGGCTTCACTGTGAATGAACACGATAAATGTGTCTATTCTAAAGTGATAAACAATGACTATGTCATTCTCTGTCTCTATGTTGATGATATCCTTATCTTTGGAACAACACTTGAATTAATTTCAAAGGTTAAGAATTATCTTTCCAAAAACTTTGATATGAAAGACTTAGGTCTTGCAGACATGATACTTGGAATAAAAATCTCTAGAGACACTAGACGAATATCTTTGAGTCTTTCCCATAGCATTGAGAAAATGCTAATCAAATTCAACTTTTATAACTCTAAACCTGTTTCCACTCCTTATGATTCTTCTATATCCTTGAAGAAGAATGAAGGTGATCCTGTCTCCCAGCTGAGGTATTCTCAGTTGATTGGATCTCTTCTTTACATATCCAACTGAACCAGACCCTATATAGCCTATGCTGTAGGGAGACTGAGCCGGTATACTTGCAACCCTAGCAAAGATCATTGGACTGTCTTAGAAAGAGTATTCAAATATCTAAAAAGCATAATTAACTATTGCTTGACTTACACTGGTTACCCTGATGCTATAGAAGGGTATAGTGACGCCAACTGGGTCATGGATTCGAACAGTATAAAGTCTACATCTGGATATGTATTCCTTTTTGGTGGTGCAGCTGTATCCTGGAAATCTTGTAAGCAAACTGTAATTGCCAGGAGCACCATGGAGTCTGAATTGATTGCTCTTGATACTACTTGCACAGAAGCCGAATGGTTAAAAAATCTTCTCTCTGAACTTCCTTTGGTCCCTAAACCCTCTCCTCCTATTTCCATTCACTCTGATTCTAGATCTACCATAGAGCTTCTAAAGAAAGTACATGTAAATAAAAAACATAACAGACATATTCAAATAAGATATAAGTCTGTACAACGCCTGTTAGGCAAAGTTGTGATCTTGGACTTTGTAAAGTCTGAGAAAAATCTTGCTGACCCTTTGACTAAGGGATTATCCAGGAGTGTGGTTCTAGATTCATCGAGGGAGATGCGGTTATGCCCATAAATGAGGTCACTGACAGTGGCAACCCAATCCTTATTTGGAGACGTAGTCCCAATGTCGGTTCAATGTGGTAGAAACAAGCTGGACAAGTGACTCTCGTGTGGAGCATCGACCTAGATATATTTATATATCATTATGTAGCATTTGCTACTACCCCTTCTCTATGATGACGATGCTCTTATGATACAGCTGACTAGGCTGAGTTTTACTCTTAATAAGTCCAACGTGTGTATTGTGGGGGTATTAAATAAACAGCTGTAGTACCCTTTGAGGACTAACCGTGATGACGATTGGGGGGGGGGCAGGGCTGACCCCTAGAAACTCTCATGAGTCGGTTTTTTGTGAGCATGGCCTTTAACGCTCAACCCGCTTAGCTCAATAGATAAAAACGTATTGTGTATGTTTTTATCAATACCTGATGCAAGGGGCCTAATTCAAGGCCTAGTCCATTATGTCCCTCAGGTGGCGATGAACTCACTAAGGAAAGGTTCAAAGCCGAAAGCTACCTCTCCCGAATTCACGATACGAATGGTTGTCCAACCTATATTTATTTTATAATTTATTTATTGATTTATTATTTTGAATTTTCAGTCAATATTGCCATTTGGGGGGACTGTTGGATGCTTTGTTCATGAAAAGACAATTTTGCCTTTGTGAATAGTCTCACATTGGAAAATGAGATGAATAGTATTGGGTATATAATGGTTCTCTCCTTATTGGGCTTTGAATAGTATTTTGGGTTTTGTGGGCTTTGCATATCTATCTCACACACGCGCGCGCGCACGCATGCCACGCCTCGCCTCGCCACGCCACGCCACGCCTTGCCCGCACGCGCGCGCCACGCCACGCTGCACCGCACACGCACACATTTTTTCTTCTCAAGTTTTTTTTGCACGTTTTACACGTTTTGTAACGGCTGCATACGGGTAACAGAAGCAAGATTTGTGCGTAACAGTTCCTTGGATTCAGCGGGGGTTACATTTCTCCTCACCTATATAAGCAGGCTTGGAGCTCATTCAGAAGCACACCAACGAAGAGAAGAACAACTTCTAAGCTCTCTTCTTTCTCTACTCTCATTTTTCCAAGAATTTTCCGGCTATATATTTACATTTATATTTTGGGCAACCGTTTTTGTCTGAGCATAAACTCTGTGACTCACGCCCGAGTGCAAAGGCCGGCCGATTCCGGGTGTTTTTACCGCTAGGGGAGAGGGGACAGATTGCGCTAGGGCGATGGGCGGGTCCTCAATCTTCTAGGGCAGTGACATTACGACTGCTCCCGATCAGGCCTGAATTTTCTAACTCTTTAATTTGGTTTTTATATTATTATATTCTTATTTTGACAGCATTTTCAAATATAAGTGAAGTGGTAGGTTATTAGATCCTTTTGATAGAAGCACCTTATGGCTATTAACTGTCTGTGATTTTTTGGGTTGGACGATAATAATATCTTGAATTGACTTATACATACTAGTACCAAGCTTGGTAATCATAGGCGATGGTTAGATTTCAAGTAGTATTTTAAATTTTGTTCTTTTAGTCTAATTTGCGTGTGCGTGTGTCTCAGTTTTTAGTGACTGGCGCCTACCCTCGCTTAATGAATCATGTAGATATTCTCTTCCCTTGTTACTCTTGTTGCAGAACATTTTTAGTCATTTTTTCTCAAAATTATTTCTTATCTTCTCTGTTGTTTTCCCTTTTTTGTTAAATGGTCAAGTGACTGAAGATATATCACCACCACTTTGATAGATTTTGATTCTAAACCAATTGAGATATCCGCTCAACATACTTCTGAGCCTGGGAGAAACGTAAAAGGAGATGATTTACTCTTTCCTAACTGTAAGTAAAACCCTGCTTTTTACACCAAGAGGAAGCCTAAATATATTTGTTACTTACTGCTTTTTACACTCAAAGACTAGGTAAAACCGTTGGTTTAACGTATGCTCCCAATCTTCTTCGAGTTGCTTATGAAA